AGATAACACAGCTACAAATGTCWTTTTGATTCATCTTCATCCTGTCTCAAAAAGGTATGGTAGGTTTACTTCTTTAGGCTCTTWTCTTTCCTCTTATAGTCTTCAGAATACATGATGGGTTCCAAGTAGCAGCTGATCATAGCCTTKCTGCAACACGTACATTTGTACTACATAGATGCTCAACACTAATATCAGTAATACATGTAATTACACTGTAGTTTGGGGGTTGAGAAGGACATAACCAATTTCAATWTTTGTGTCTCAATATACATTTTTACCACACTTGTGTTGATTGGCTGATTGGAATGTGTCAATTAGATGGCATTCACACAGTGCTGACACCATCACGTCTTGCACACACTCAGTTGAAAGAAAAGAATGTTTTTCGCTAATTTTTAGACTTTTAAAAAATGTGGTAAAAAGCAAATTGCACATGGTTTGAACATATTATGATGTCGAGAGTGTGTCAATAAAAGGACATGAAACTCAAAACACTGCGCAATTTATTAAATATATACATTCATGGTTTTTAGATCACCTGAAGATGCTGAAAAAACCTTTATTCAAAATGGTTAGTATAATGATAGTTGGCATTATATTGTAAAATGGTGGGAATTAGCGGTAAACTAGTGTGAGCTGCGTCTGTGTTTCTAAAGAAATAGTTGTGTAAAAAAGATAAGTTTAACACAGTAAAAAAGTATGGGAAATAACTTACGTTTCAGGTGTTAATCCTTCGTCGGAGTAAAGACAAAAGGATTAACATCCGAAACGTCAGTAAGTTATTCCCCATACTTTTTTACGGTGTTAAACTTATCTTTTTTGCACAACCGCATTATATTGTGTTGTAATCTATATTAAAAATTGTTTATACATGCTAGTAAGACTCAACTCTCGCTATAATGGACAACCATAATTCAGTGTAGTAGTGAGAGTCAGTAGTAACGAGTGTTACTTTCAGTCATTTCTTTGTATTTTTCACTGGAAATTCAGTATTTTACTGTCCGCAATATCAAGGTGTCCATAAGGTGAGAGTTGACTGTACATACAGTATTATTGAAATCTGGCAAAATCTTATCATGCTTGCTACAGAAGAGTTAGACATAACGTTTGGTGTTGTTTTATGTCTGCAGACAAAGCAATTGCTGAAATAACAAAACAAGTTTCTCATCTCAGTCCATCATACACTTGCATCCTGACTGCTTCAGCACCAAATAAGGTACGACAYTCTTCACCCTCCTATAGATCAATCTTAACTCTATTATTCAAATAGCTTGAAATTTTAATTTACACTGATGATAGATAAGGCTCAAACTTCTATTTGAAAACAACTTTTTACTTGGCTAATGAAATAAGTAAAGTTATTCAAGATACAGTAGGAAGTACAATTCTGTAAGCATAAATATATCTAAAATATGAGCCCTTACTTAGAACATAATACATGGGGGTTTATTTGCAAGTTATTGTAGAAGTGGTGAACCCAGTTTAACATGGCTTATCAGGCTACTACATGTACCTAAGTGTGACTGCTTGAACACTGTTTCTAGTCATGATGGCAATTTCTGCTCCAATATTTTCCTTTAGTTGAGACCCCTGTTCATTAAGTAGAATTGTAAATTAAGTTGTTCATCAAAGTACAAGTCAGAATTTAATATTAT